GTATTCTACACCCTGTGCTTTGCTTTTACTTATATTGACCACCAGATGGCAGTATGTGGCCAGTTTTGTCTTATTTGGAGTTTTGGGGTTTGGGAGGTATAATTATGGGATTGATGAAATTTTATTAAGCAGTTTTTAAATACCGAGATGTTGGAATCATAGAAATGTACTTTTTATTAAAAAAAAATTAAACTACTATAAAATGGATTTACAAGGGATGATAAAGAGTTATATGAAGAAATACTGTTTATGTTAAAAGGTATGCGTGAATCTATATAAAAGACAATAAGGTGACAATGGGATTGTTTAAAGATGCAGAAATGAATGTAGAAGTTACACAACCATTGGGGGAAAAAGAACATGATACTCAAGAAATAGATAGAAATTAGAAAAAGCAGTGGAAGGGGAAAATCAAAATGAGACGCCAAAAGTCCAAAACAGAGGAGAAAGGATTAATAAGTAGAAAACAATTATACAACCCCCCAAAAGCTTATAACAGAATAGAGAGAAAAGAAAAAAAATTCTTAAAAAAACAAAACAAAGGGAAGTCTTGTTGATGGGTGTTAAAGTAATACAGCAGAAAGAGATAAAAGGTACTCAAAAGGGAAAATTCAGTAGGCACAAAAAAATCAAAAAGAGATATAAGATTCCAAGAGAGAGAGAGAGAGAGAGAAAAGGCTGACTAAAAAGTCAATAAATGATGGAATTTTAAACAGGTTAAGAGATGATGGATGAGAAAATATTAATAAAATGGGAAAATACATACAGGGAAAATAGTAGTGTAATAGATAATATAATTTACTATAATCCAAATAAGTCAATAGGTGGGAATTTAGGATTAGGTAATTAAACTGTATTATTAATATTAATAGTGTGTTAAAAGTATATTGTGAATTTAAAATAGGACAGACTAGAAATGTGGGATTTTGAGATACATCCTGGGATTGATTAAATATTATTAATATTTGGCCTTATTAGTAATCCTACACATTTGGAATATTGAAGTTATGGTGGAATAATGAGTAATTCTTAAAAAAAAATATTAAATAATAGTATTTAGGGATAACAAATACAGAACGGAAAAAAATGTTATATATGTTTAAACAAATTAATGGGAAAATGATAAATGGATTATGAAAAAGAGACTAGCATTGTTGAAGCTATAAGATTAGAATCACACATACTTATTCGTGTTATTATTGTTAGTGTGGTTTAAAAAAGACTTGACCCACTCAGTACACTGTCTACAAAATATGTATGTTTATATTGAAAAATAAAATCTTTGGGAGGAAAAAAGGATTTACAAGCTGAAGCCAGTTCATACTGTCCCTGATGATCATTGTAGGTAAAGCACCACAATAGTTTTGGTTGAATATCGCAGATAATCATGAGTTTTGAAAAGAGGTGATTTTGGACCTCCGGTCCAGGATAGAAGTACTGAGACCATTTCAGTGAAATTGCTGATGATATCATATCCAATTGTTGATGATATCATATCCAATGAATATGATTCTTGTTGCAAGATGAGAAGCTCACTCTCTTGAAGTTCAGCTGGACGTGTGGTTTGTAAAAATAAAAATTTGTAACAACCATAATTTCTCTTGGTCACTGTCATACAATTTCAACCTAGTTGATGATGAAGCACTTTCACATTAAAAGATAAAAGTTTTTAGCATTTTGCTTATAGATGTAAACTTCAGATTGAATTAAGGCATTTTGAAATGAGCTGATTACCGTAACAGACTTTGCATTTTTATTTTTATTTTTACTATTCTTCATTTTCAGATACCTTCTTGATAATCCAAAAGTGGCCCAGAAGAAGAAAGTTCTGGATCTAGGAAGTGGTTGTGGAGCAACAGCTATTGCAGCTACACTAAGTGGAGCATCACAAGTTGTTGCAAATGATATTGACCCTGGTAAGCTATTTTCTACCAAATGTAGGACAAGCTAAGTTCATGAGGATAAACCATAATGTCAAGCATGCTTTGAAATCCAAAGGTCTACATAGATTTACACATAATGATAACTCAGGATTCTTAAACTATGGTTTACACCAGACATGATATTCTTCCGATTAAAATCGGAATTCCGATTTTTTGGGGAATCGCCCCCCCTTTCCCCCCCTTCTTCTCCTCCTTCCCTTCCCCTCGGAGGCCCCGAGTCAGGAGTTGCTACCGCCGGCGCGGCTCTGCGTGGCTCCAGTCCCGCGTTGCCTCAGGAAGGGAAAGGCAAAAAGGAAGAGCCGCGGCGGCGCTTTGCAATGGCAGCAGCGGCTCCTGGTTTTGCCTTTCCCTTCCCGAGGCAACGCGGTGCGAGCGGAGGGCGGGCGGTGCGAGCGGTGCGAGCGGCGGGCGGGCAGGCGGGCGGTGCGAAAGGGA